TGGAATTTGACTCGGCCAAAGGTTTTTCCCAGCGTGTGCTCACTGGGAACTGGGCTGTGTTCTTTGGCCTATGGGCAACATGCCCCGTGCCGGCACACAAAAAGGGAGCCAACAGGGGCTGAGGGTATTGCCAAGACCTTCTCAGTTTCTGAGTGTCTCACCCTGGAGATCAGCTCCCCCTTTCCTAAAAGCTTTGATCCTCACTACTTTGGGGAAAAAGAAAGGCAGTGGGCTACGCTTTACCTGCAGCAGTGGTCTGCAGTTGCAGAAGGGGCAGTTATCTGGGTGTACCAACATCTCCCAGCCACTGGCAAGCCTGCACTAACCCATCTCTTTGGGAGGAACAGCATTGCTCTGAATTTGAGGGACATCACGCTTTACTCTGCACCCACTGGCCTTCTCCCTGCAGGGAAAGGGGCAGGTACGACCATGATGACCTTTGCTATGCGCTCTCCACATGCAGGTGGCTGAGCAACTCATCAACCCTTTTGGGGAGGACGATGACGACTTTGAAACCAACTGGCTCATCGACAGGAACCTGCAGGTAACGTGAAGGCAGGATCCTCCAGATGACCCTGACCTGCAGAGGAACACTGAGGCAGGACTGCACCTGAGGGTTTAGCAAGCCCCGTCACTGCAGTCACAAAGTTCTCCTCCAACAGCTCTGCTGCCCACCTCCTATGCCTGCAACAGGGCAGAGAAGCAGTCCCTGTTACCTTTGTGCTTTCCTGAATTGTTGGTGGATGCATGTTAAGAAGAGCCCCAGGATCTCCAGAGGGAGATGGCTAGGACAGCAGGAGGAGAGCATAAGGCTTCCTAACAAATATGAGGGTGAAGGTGACCAGCTCAGTCTTCCCCCTCAGCAGCCAAGGAGACATCCCAGGCTCTAGGAAGAATGTGGGGCAAGGCCTGTGCCAGGAAGACCCTCTCACACCAGGAAAAACAGGGCTTTGGGCGTATTAGAGGGCTAGAACACCTTTCCTGTGAAGACAGGCTGAGAGAGTTGTGGTTATTCAGCCTGGAGAAGAGAAGGCTCCAGGGAGACCTTCTAGCAGCCTTCCAGTGCTACAAGAAAGCTGGAGAGGGGATTTAGATTAGATCTAAGGAAGAAATACTTCACTCTGAGGGTGGTGAGGCACTGGAACAGGTTGCCCAGAGAAGTTGTGGATGCCTCATCCCTGGAAGTGTTCAAGGCCAGGTTGGATGAGGCTTTGAGCAATCTGATCTAGTGGAAGGTGTTCCTGCCTATGGCAAGGGGGCTGGAACTAGATGATCTTTAAGGTCCCTTCCAATCCAAACCATTCTGTGATTCTATGATCTTTGTACATAGAGACCAATTGCAGCTTTCATCCATGCTCTGACAGACACGATGGATCCAGGCTGTTGGTTTCACACCCCCGCTACCTCTCAATGACACATTATTCCTGCCTCTCCCTCGTTTTTTCCACCCTGTGTCTGTATCTAACTGTCTCCTTTGCTTTTTCCCATGCAGTAACCCTCCACCTTCAGCCCTTCCTAATACTGAGCCCCTCTGTCCTAGTGAGCATATCGCTTTCCTTCCAATTAATCAAATCCCTCCGTGTGAAAAACCACCCAAGTGGCAGGAAACGACACAGCAAACCCAGCCACTTCTGTGCTACATTGTTTCCTCCCGCCCTGCATTCCTTGCAGGCACAGGTGATGCTCCTCAGCCATCTGACGTTTCTGCTGTCCCCTGCAGGTCTCCCTCATGGCAGTGGATGAGATGCATCAGGATTTACCCATTTTGGAGAAGGACCTATACTGGAACGAGCCTGATCCCCAGCCACCCTACACCGCAGCCACTGCTGAGTACAAGCGCCCATCGTTCCTTGGCTCAACTTTTGATATCAGGTGAGCGCAACCACAGGGTGTCAGAACAGTCCACATTTACGCCTTGGATCAGCTGTTGTGCAGGGTGTTACACTGGAGGAGTCAGAGCAAGCCATAATATCTTTCTCCATAGTCTGTGAAATCTTACTCTAAAATATTTATAGGCTCATGCACAGACAATAGCAAACATCCTCCACAGAAGCGGATGCTTCTGACCTTTTCTCCTCTCCAATGAGCATCCCTGTTGTGGAGGGCGTAACACATCTAATGGCAATACAGGAAGAGAGAGGCATGGCAGCAGCACTCCCTGCGCTCACCAGAAACCCCCTCCTTTTGTGGCTGTCACAGCCCGTTTTGCCTTTCCCCAGCATGCAGAAAGAAGAGATGGAGTTCCAGCCCCTGGAGCAAATTAAAGAGAACGAGGAGGCAAACCACTCCACACCATTACTGGGACACCTGGGCCGCCTCCTCGGTGTCCAGTCACCGACTTTCTCCAGGTCCTCTTCCCGGATGAACCTTCTGCGCAGAAGAGGAGATCCCACATCCCCCTTCTCCCATTATACGTACCAAGACATGGGCAAGTCTGGAAGCCCTTGCAGCATCAATCGGCCCAGAGGAGACTCCAGCTCACAGGAGCAGTGGGACAGTGAAGACAGAAAACTAAGGGAGTTTGATGCCTTCATGTCAACCCCATTTTATGAGAGACCTGGTTTCTACAGTGCTCCACAGACACCAATCAGCTCTATCCCCATGATTTTCCCTTCTAGACGCCAAGGCCGTAAGAAGCCTCCCGCACTATCCAGCATCACTGCGTGCTCGACTTCTCTTAGGGACGTCATTGTCAACTCCTCACCTTCCAGAGTCAGCGATGTGTATAAGAGCCAGAGTTCCATTGGCTCAGGTGCAAAGGAAACATTTATTTGGCCAACAGATCGGAGCAAAGGTCCTGACTCGGTGGTTGTAACAGTAGAAGAAGAGAAGAGCAGCTCTAACAGTAAAACCAGAGAAGCTGCCACTGCAAGAAGTCCAGGAGCTCAGTCCACAGCATCAGATAGCCCTAAATTCCCTTTCTTGGCAGAGTCCCCAGACCACGAGAAGCAGGGTAGCTTCAAGAGTCTAAAGAGCTTGAAAGGTTCCCACCCACCCTGGCTAACCCTGGAGAACACAGCATCAGCCACCCCCAATTCTGAGCATTCAAGTGCCTTTCACACCCCCAGTAACAAAACCCCCGGAGGCAGTGCCTCCCTCTGCTTCTCGTTCACTCCTGTAACATCTCCAGCGCTGGAGAGATCCCACATGGGGAACACGGGCCCTGATGCTCACAGCCTAAGTTTAGAAGATACAGACAGTGCTCCAGACCAGCATTCAGCAGAGGTTTCCAGGACCACGAGAGATGCTGGAAACGGAAGTGTTAATACTCCCCCTACAAAAGAGCCAAGGCGAGCAGAGAATCCATCGCCCAACGATTCTGGCATCTCTCTAGCTGAGGGCGACTATGTGGGGCTGATGGAGGTGATCATGGAGACCAGTGAAAGCACATGTGAAGAGCAGCTAGATCAGTACAGCTAGAGGAGACCAGGAGACACACAGTCCTGTTGAGATACCTGCCACATTAGTGATATTGCAGTATCTTGGTGCCTGGCCACACTGGCACTCACCCGAATGGAAGGGCAGTGCAGCCACAGCACGTTCTGCTGGAACATGCAGCTAAAGTCCAGCCTAAGCTAAAGCCAGCACTAACACACTGCTACTGAGCTCAGGTACGGTATCAGGCACAACTTCAGCGTTGTAACAATAACCAAACAACAAAACTCTTAATTTTATAGCAAAAGAACAAGACTTTAAGTGTTATGGATTACAGATACCTAACAGCAGAGCAATTACCTTCAGCAGGTACCAGCCTGAAGAACCTGGAGTGCAGGTGTAGCCCAAACCAGAATATCATTAATGAGATTACCTCCCCCCCTCCTCATCACAGCAAGAATTGGAACTTGAGCTTTATGTTAACATTTGTCACAAGACCCATCCCAAGTCTCAGGCAGGACTTGTTCTACTGACAAGATACTCCAGGGAAAGTAAGAGACTGAAGCAAGTCACATCACTTGTGCAAACCTCCCAGTGCTTCATGAAGTCATGTCTAGCTGGTGTTTTCCAGTACTGGAAAAGTAACAGGATAAGGCAGAGCAAACATCTGCTAGAACAGGTGGCTGCAGTAAATGGTATTTGCCCAGCACATGGCTTCCTTTTGAAGTTCCACATCACATCTGCCACTGATTTGACAGTACTCAGAGAAGTCATGTGGATGGTAGCAGACACCATCCAGCTGTGAGTTTCTACTTGTCTTCCCTAAGAAAATAAAAACAAGGCTGAAGTCTAAGACCATCTGTTTTGTTTCCTCATTTTAGTTTCCATGCAACAGGAATTTAGAGAAACCACAAAAGTTCTCCTGTTTTAAGCAAGAGGCTTCAGAAACAGCTGCAAATCTCCCATATCACAGGAGGCACATGACAAATTCACCTCCCACATCCCTTCCAACGCCTTCACAACAGCTGCCAATCCTCTCTGCCTTCCATGTACAGCACTTAGACCTAGGCAGATGTCACCACCACCCACTGCAACTCCTGATGCAGGGCTATTGAGGCAGTTCCTGCAGCACCGCCATTTCAGTCCAGCTTGATTACAGTACACAGTTCCAAAGCCTTAATCCACAGTATGTTTTCTCCATACAAGCATAGCCCTGTTTATTAGACATGGATGGATGATGCCTAGTGAGGCACTTAGACACGCCCCCCCCCGCCCCCTTCAGTAGCCTTATCTGAATTCACAGGAGCAATTCAGCAAGCCCAGATACTCAAAACTTCCTTTCCTTGAGCTTTTATTACAGCAACAGCTTTGGTGGCAAAGGCATTTTAACACACAACTTTAGTCACTGACCAATTCCTGCAGTAAATCCCACCAGACTGGAAAGAGTTGTTTCTATAAAAGTGCAAAGCAAGTAAAACCCGATGCCTCTAATACTTCTATTCTTCTAATACTTCTAATACATGGATGCCTCTTCATCCATGCCCAACTTAAGATGGCTGTCACAACAGAGACTACAGAGCCCAATCCTGCAAGTACAGGCCTCTTGCCTCCAAAACAGAAAAAAACAACTGGAACCAAGTCACTTTATTGGATGGAGGGCAATACACGAAACACAAGAGAAAAGAGGGGTGGTATTTGGTACAGAGTGTAAGAACTGTTTATCTAGATAGCTGAAGATGCATGCATGGCTGGACAGTAAAGTAGGAGTTCCACTGAAACCCACAGGGTGGCTGTTGGCAAGACTTCAGCTGTCATTGTCACTGTCCCCAAGGGTGTGCTTGTCAAAGAGGTACTCCGCCATGCCATATTTCGGTGCCCCCATCTTCCGCAGGTTGGTCACATGGTCACCCAGCTCTTTGATGGCTTTCACCTGCTCATCCAGGTAGTGAGTCTCAATGAAGTCACACAACTGAAAGGGAGACAAGAGAGTTTAAACTTAGGCCTGAACACAGCTTG